ATATATATATATATATATATATACATGTTATTTAAAATTTCCAAAAAGTGAAAAAATTACACATAACTAACTTGAAAATTATTTGAATTTTATAAAGTCAATTACTTCAAATAGTTTGGAATTTTAAGAAGCTCGATGATTAATTTATTATGGAGGTCCAAAATTGGGTGTCAACTGTAACTATAGTGCCTACTGCTGAAATGTTAGACAGAGAAAAATTCATGATTATTGAAGCATGAAAACAGGCAGACTTCCTATGTAAGAGCTACATTTTGAGTGCTTTAGAGGATGACTTATATAATGTCTATAGTGCAATGACAACTTCAAAAGAATTGTGGATGCACTTGAGAAGAAATATAAGACAGTAGATGCATGCTTGAAAAAATTTGTGATCGCAAAGTTTTTAGACTATAAAATGTCAAATAGTAAAACTGTAGGATCACAAGTGCAGGAACTTCAACTTATTTTTTATGATTTGATTGTTGAAGATATGGTAGTAAATGAAGCGTTTCAAGTGGCTGCAATGATCGAGAAGTTACCTCCTTCGTGGATCGACTTCAAGAATTATTTAAAGCACAAACGTAAGAAAATGAAACTTGAAGTTCTTGTGATTCGGCTCAAGATTGAGAAAGATAACAAAACCGTCGAAAAGAAGTCTCGTAAGAGTTCGACAGTAATTGGAGTTAATATTGTTGAAGAGCTCCTACCAAAGACAATAAGAGAAAGAAGTCCAACGGACAGAAGTCAGAACAGGCCAAGAAAAAGTTCAAAGGCAACTGTTACAATTGTGGTAAGGCTGGTCATAAGTCTTCTCACTGTCATGCTACAAGAAAGGACAAAGACAAAGACAAAGGCAAAGGCAAAAGCCAAGAAAACATCGTGGAAGAGATGGAAGATGCAGTTGACCTTTGTACAATGATCTCGGAGTGCAACTTAGTTGGAAATCCTAAGGAGTGGTTTCTCGACTCAGGTGCCACTCGACATATTTGCTATGCGAAAGAAACCTTTGCAACATACACTTCTGTTGAGGTTGATGAAGATTTGTTCATGGGAAACACAGCAACAACAAGGATTGCAAGAACTGGAAAAGTAATGTTGAAGATGACATCCGGCAAGGTGTTGATCTGAACAACGTTCTGCACATTCCTACTATTATGAAGAATTTCGTTTTTGTTGCATTGCTCGTTAAAAACGGGTTTAAGTGTGTCCTAGTTAGTGACAAACTGTAATAAGTAAGAATGAGATGTTCTTAGGAAAAGGCTACCTCACTGAGGGCCTTTTCAAACTGAATGTAATAGTTGTTGACAGTATTAATAAGAATTCTGCTTCTGTTTACTTATTGGAGTCAAATGATTTATGGCATGCCCGTTTGGGACATGTAAATTACAAAGCCTTGTGAAAATTGGTTACTTTAGAAGTATTGCCTGATTTTAAATGCGATAAATCGAAATGCGAAATTTGTGTGGAAAGTAAGTTTGTTAAACATCCTTATAAGTTTGTTGAAAGAAATTCAAAACCTTTAGACTTAATTCACATAGATATATGCGATATGAAGTCGACACCATCTCGTGGTAGGAAAAAGTATTTTATAACTTTTATTGACGACTACACTCGATTTTGTTACGTATATTTGCTTAATAGTAAGGATGAAACAATTGATGCATTTAAGCAATATTAAAATGAAGTGAAAAATCAATTGAATCTAAAGATAAAAATGATTCGAAGTGATAGGGGTGGAGAATACGAATCTCATTTTGCTGAGATATGTTTGGAATATGGTATTATCCATCAAACTACTGCACCCTATACACCGCAGTCAAATGGTTTGGTTGAACGGAAGAACAAAACATTAAAGGAAATGATGAATGCTCTGATAATCAGTTCTGGTTCACCAAGAAATCTATGGGGAGAAGCCATCCTTACGGATAACAAGATACTCAATAGGGTACTCCGTAGCAAAACACAATCGATTCCATATGAGTTATGGAAAGGAATGAAATCCAACTTGAAATATTTTAAAGTGTGGGGTTGTCTTGCCAAGGTAGAAGTTCCTTTACCCAAGATGGTGAAAATTGGACCCAAAACAGTGGATTGTGTATTTATTGTATATGCTGTGAACAGTAAGGCCTGCCGGTTTTTGGTTCACATGCATTTGTCCCTCATCAGTGGTGGAAAGAAAAATAGGAGAGTTTAAATATAGAAACACTCCTATTAATTGTTAAAAGGGTTGGAAAGAGGGACCCCACTTGCGCCGCGTCGTCGTCGCTCGCTCGGCTCGGCTTCGGCTTTGGCTTTGGCTTTGTAAAATGATCGATCGAGAGATTATTTTTGGACAAAGTTTGTTTTAATTATTTTAGTTAATTATTTATTTAATTAATTAAATTAAATTAAATGGCCAAAATTTTAATTAGTTAATTAACCGAAGTGTTTCAATTAATTAGTTAATTGACCCGACCCGACTCGGATCCACGCGCGAGCCATTTTATTTAAATCTTTCCTGTTTTATTTGAATTTCCCGTTGTTGGAAGTGACTGTTCTGAAAGGTTGCAACTTTCAGAAACAGCCATGACCATTTGAAAGGTTGCAAACTTTCATGAATGGTCATGTGGATTTTGAAAGGATTGCAACCTTTCGGAACCAGTTCCTCTTGCCTATAAATACATTGATTCCTCAGACTTATTCCTTACGAATTTTCTGATTTCTTCTTCTTCTTCTGCATAAAATTTCTTCGTGTACTTTACTGTTGTTCAGTGGTTCGCTGACACCAGAGTTTTGGGTATCAATACACTGGTAATTGAGATCATTCTATCCTGGGAGGACATATTCCAAATCAAACCTCGGATACTAGAGGGAAATAATTTCCTTAAGGGGACACTGTGCATTCAGTGGGCTTGATCTTTTTTTGATTCTGTTTTTTTCAGATTGTGGTACGTTTTTACAGATTTTAGTTCTGTCAATTAATTTATGTTCATCTATTCTTACTGATTTATTAAACTTTGGTTACTTCGTGTTTCTGCAAAGTTTATTGAAATCAGTAATTCTAGTTTTTTAAACACAAATTGCTAACATAGGATGTAAGCTAGATAACTATCAAAAACTATATATTTTTTGGTTTTGATAGATACCCAACATGTACAAGGCCTTAAAACTAATGAGAAAAGACATACTTCTTTTCTCTATTTTATCTATTTTATTTTATTTTATTTTATTTTTCTTTCTCTTATTTATATACAACAAATTAAAGGCATATACCACACGCACTAGCTGGAGAATTTTCAGTACTTTAGAGATGCATTTATGTCCTCAAGTTGTTTTTGGATCTTAGACTGCTTCCTTAAAGACAATCTTTTCCACTCTACCAAAAGTATTAGAAATTTCATAACCTGCCAAAGTAAAAAAGGGGCGGTTAATGCACAAAATATTTTGTGTTAGTAGGATTTGGTGAAGGATCGCATCCCACGGTTATTATATATTATATATATTGAAAAAATTGTTATTAAAGTTTTACAGTATAATTAAAACATAAAAAATGGAAAAAAGTGAGGAAAGAACTAAACAATGAAATTTGGTTTTTAAGAGAATAATGTTCTATACAAGAAGTTATTTTGACCATTTTCTACTTTTTTATTTCTATATCCATGTTGGAAATGGTTTTCTTCTTTCTTTTTCTTTTATTTGGAGAAACGGTTAGAAGACATAATTAAGAAAAGAAAATATGTCCTTTTTAACCGTTTAACTTTTAGAAGAGCTGGTCAGAATAGGTAGAAAAGTCCTAGGCTTAAGTTTCAGTGTCTTTCATTAATATCAAAAAGATCTTCTACGTATGTACATGTTTGTCCCATGAAAAATAATCATGCTCGCATATGATCAGGAGGCATACTTAAGACATAATTAAGAAAAAAAAAAGTTCTCTTTCAAACAGGTTAAACTTTTATATATGAGATAATACTCCAATTAAAACCAAACATCTAGAGTCTTATCCAATTTAATAATTGGAAAATGATATGCAAGAAGCTTAGATAATATATTAGGTATCAAAACTAGTTTCTTAAGAGTTGAGCATTAATATTATTAATGATCACTTCATCCAATATCCATAAGTTAGCAAAAATGATGACCTTTTATCAAAAACAAATTGAGTATAAGCATTAAGCCCCCTTTATTAATTTGTACAAGATGTAGGGTGTGTTTGGTACGAAGGAAAATATTTTCCTGGAATACAAGTAGATATTTTATTTATTTTTTCATGTTTGGTTGGTTAGTAGAAAATATTTTTGGGAAAAGATTTTTTAGTGTTTGATTTATGGATGAAATATCTTTTATTTTTACTAGAGAGTAGAAAATAATTTTTGAATTGAAATTGAAAATATTTTTTAAAAATAAACTTAAATTTTTTTGGGGAGAGGGTGGGGCTGACGGGGGGGAGGGGGGTAGGGGGTGAAATGGGTAAAAAAATAAAACTTTGAAATTAAAAATATTTTTTAAAAAAAACTTATATTTTTTTGGAGGGGATGGGGGTAGGGGTGGGGTGGAGTGAAAAAATAAAAATTTGAAATTGGAAATATTTTTTAAAAATAAACTTTAATTTTTTTGGGGTGGTAGTGGGGGCTGGCCGGGGGTGGTTAGGATAGAGGTGGGGTGGGGTGAAAATAAAAATTTGAATTGGAAATATTTTTCAAAAAAAAACTTTAAATTTTTTTTTGGTGGGTGGAGGGGGAGGGGTAGGGGCTGGCGAGAGGGTGTGGTAGGGGTGGAGGTGAGGGTGAGGGTGAGGTAAAAAAATAAAAAAAATTGAAGTTGAAAATATTTTTTTAAAATAAGCTTTAAATTTATTTTTCCTATAATTTGAAGTTGGAGGAAAGTTTTGGAAAATGTTTTCCTTAATTTTGAAGGGAAGTCATTTTTCTTAAACTTGAGGAAAATGAGTTGATTTAGAAATTATTTTACCCAATCAAATATAAAAAAATTGAAAAATATTTTCCTTCGTACCAAACACACCCCTAATGTACTTTGCTTAAATGTTTAAAGATTCTCACCTCAGAAGGTTCTTGTAAAGAATAAGATGCATGTGTGTCTTTTGGAGTTTTTGAGACGAGAATGCCTAAACCTTGCCTTCTTTCTCTAAGTACCTATTATACATGCAACATATAATTTGTTTAATAATTAATAAATAGTTTAACTTCTCAAAGTAATAATTATCAAAATCTATCTAAAATTATATAATAAATATAATTTAAATTATATTTACTAATAGTGAAACATATATTTATACAATCATGTTATTACAAATAAATCTATAGATAAACACTAATTGAAAATTTGATAAAAATAGTAAACGAACCTGTTATCACAAATTAAAATTTACTGATAATATAAATAAACCATTACATTGTTAGTGTGTACACTATTAAATTTCTTATTTTTTCACTGAAATTTCTCGATGAAAAATATTCCGTAGATATTTTCACAGATATTTTGATTGAATCGATGAAAAAAGTAGTGTTTTCGTATGAAAAAATCAGAAAGCTTCCTGATATTTCAGTGAGAATCTATTTCCCCACCATGCCTTTCCCCAATAAATTGATTCGATGTAAAAATCATATTTTATATATATAAAAAAATCACTGGATTCACGATGGAAAAGGAGCTTATATTAATTTCTAGTAGAGGTATAACCTACATCCTTATAATTATTCATTTTAGTAACTTAAAAAATTAAAGGAAAATTAATAAAACCTTCTAGGAAAAAATTCTAATATACTAAATTTTTATAATTAAATAAAGGGTAAAGAAGAATATATTAAACCTTGAAAGCATCTTCATCTGTTCGATCATCACCAATATAAATAGGAAAGACATCATTACATTTAGCATATCCTGTTGAAATAACATTAATAATTAATTTAATTTCTTCTCAATATTTTATTTTAGTTATGATAAAATAAAATAAAAAAATTATGAATATTTTTAAAAGTAGAATATTCTTACCAAGTGATTGAAGCAAAAATTGAAGAGCTTTTCCTTTGTCCCATTTAATAATAGGACGGATCTCTAATACTTTTCTTCCTTGGCATAATTTAAGCTTTGGATATTCTTTTAGCACTAAACTCACTTGTTGTGATAATTCACCCCATTTCTGTTACCAAAAATAATAATAAATAATTCATTATTAAATTAAATTAAATATTTTCTTTAACTTTTTTAAAGTTGCAACTCTTTTTAAAAGAAAAAACCTAAACATTATTTGTGCTTTATATAATCTTATATGCTTTCTCTAAACTATAAAAAGATGATGCTTATTTTTGTTTAATTCTACTTTTGAATGGTCCATGGATATGGATTATTATATATTACTCCCTCCGTCCACAATTGTTTGACAGGTATACTAAAAATAGATGTCCAAGATTAATTGTCAATTTAACCAATCAAGAAATAATTAGTGTGGACTTTTGATATTCTTGGTATTGTAGGGTTATATTAGTCAAATTACACTTTGTATTAAATTTTCCTTGAGGGATGTGTATGACCTTACCCTGACAAACAATTGTGGACGGAGGGAGTAATATACATAGAGAATGTAATTTTTTTTTAAAAGTAAATTTCACAAATAGTCGTCTATCTTTTAGCTTTTGTAATTAAAAAAATAGTAATTATATTAAAGTTCTAATTTCTACGTGTGAGATATATATAGTCATGAAGTTTCACTCGTAATCCAAGATATTGGCTTTCTTTTACGAACAACGTTGAAAAGTGTTAGTAAACTATTTTTATGGGTTTTTTTTTAAGATGAACTTTTGAATTTTAACTTGCAATTGTAAGTTAGTTATTATTTTTACTAGATTATTCGTTACTTATATTTATCAAGAGATTTACTTGTGTCAGTTGTATGAGACATATAAAAAATTTCGAAAAAATAATATTTGAAACTTGTTTATACCTTTTCATCGACGCAACGGAAATGCACAGACACACAAAACTTATTATTCTCCACTTTAACACCTTCAATAGACTTTGTTTTGTCCAATAATTCTTTGTAAACCTGAAAAAAAAAAATTACTGTAAATAAACTTTGTAATTTTTTGTTTGACCATGATTTTTTTAAATTTTTTCGAAAGTTGAACTCTTAATTTTTAAATATTATTTTTCACTTAAAATTAAATTACTATTTTTTTTAAATTTTACAATGAAATATGATCAAACGCTAAATTTTTGATGGAGCTAGACTGACCTCAACAATCATTGGAAGAAATTTACTTGCTGGTTGGAAAAGAACAGCTTGAGTTCCCTGAATGTCAAACATGAAAAAGAAAATATATATTAAGTAGAGTTTAATTTTTATACATTAATATTTTGATAATATAAAAAATAATTTATACTATCAGCATATATACCTAAAAATAACAATAAGTAATAGTGTAGAGAATTATAAACCCAAAAAAATAAGATAGGTAACATGCTATCGCTGATTAAGAACACACCAATAGTCAGATGATACAAATTTAAAATTTAAAATTTGAAATTTATAAATTTTTACAACGATTTAAATTTAATGTTATAATATAGGCAAATTTATTGTCAAATATTTATGTATGCAAGCATGATAAAATTTATTAGGCTTATGTGAATGGTAACAATCCTCTCACTATTTCTCCATTGAAATTTCCGACTGAAAAATGTTTTATTGTTATTTTTATAGATATTTTGATTGAATCGGTGAGAAGAAAAATTAAGTAATTAAGATTACTCACTTTCTTACTATATTTAGAACCTTTTGATGGTCCTTTTATATCCATCCCATGGCTTCCAGCATAGTACAACTCTGCTAATTGTACAAAATTGTATACCTATAATTATTCAAAACTCAAAAATATATAAATAAATAAATAAAATAAAAAAACAACCATATAAACCTTAAAAAAATAAAAAAATGTATACCTTGTCTCTGCATCTCCCACTAACTATAGCAGTAGGGAAATTTCTAGCAAGTTTTCTCACTGTTCCTCTCATCTGAGAATGGAATAAACGCCTATTAGAAAATATGAAATTAGCTATAGAATTTATCGATAATCTCTAGTAAATTCATCATTAAATCGCTCCTGTTTATTGGATTTTCACATAAGCCGTCGCTAATCTATAGCTTAACGGTATTAGCTTGGAAATTTTATTATTTAACTACGAAATTTTATCTATCGCAAATTCCTTATATTTCTGATAGTAGTAATAAAAGTAGTTGAAGAGAATGAAGATTTTAAGTCGCATGTCATGTGCACATTATGTTGAAAATATAATTGAATAAATAAAAATTTGATCAGTAATGATTTAAAGTTTTAAATAAAATGGTCACATTCACACCAGGGGCGTATTTAGAAGGGTGCTGTGGTTCACGTGAACCCATGCTCCCCTCTCTAGATCATATATAATAGTGTTATATTTTTAAAAAATATTTAAATATAAATGTGTGAACCCACGTTTAAAGTATCATATAATAATACAATAATGATTGAGTGCACCTCTCTAAGTAAGGATAAAAATTTAAGTCTTATATCTATCTTGTCCTTTTGAGTAACACCTCCCCAAGTGGTTATCAATTATACTTTTGATGTTTCAACTAATTTTTCTTTTGTTTTTTTTCCTTTAATCTTCAAAATTTTCAAGTGCCTTACATTGGAAGTTCCTAAAAAACTTTGCACTATATGATTTTTATATAATTAAATCAAATGTGTATATTAAAATTTAAAACTAGTAGTATTATATATTTTGGACCTATAATTTTTAAAATTTAATGGTTCATATTAAGAACCTAAAAGTCAAACTTATCAAATTTATATTTAAGATACATTTTTTCGTATTCCTACACCCATCTTGTCGAATTCCTGAATACGCCTCTGATTCACACACTTTAAAATGATCGATATCATAACAGAAAAAAGGCATAAATTCGAGTCTTATCGCTATCCATTATCAAATAAAGGAATTTAATATGCTTAGGTTATGGTAAAAAAGAAAAAGACTCGCATATGAAAAATCGTGTTGAAATACATAATTAAGTAAATTAAGATATATTCTCTCTAACTATTTAAACTTGCAGATAAGATATCACACACTTTCTCATATACTGAAAATAATATTTACACAATCAAGTCAGTTAAAACACAAGGAGCACTCCTAATTTTCGATGGATATCGTCCCATTGGGAATTGACTCGTTATTAAGGAATTTTCAACGGAAAAAAAATTATCAAAAATATTTTCGATAAATCAATTTTCGAAAAATATTAAACATACTTACATCATCAGACATGAAAGCTTGATCAGGGTCATCAACAATGGGAGAAAGGGTACCATCATAGTCTAAAAACATTACAATTTTCTTCCCTTTAGAAACACTTATTATATCTTCAAACATGTCAACTGCTGATGGATGATGCGCCTGTTTCATTTTTAACAAAAAATAATTTAATTTCTTTTTTTAATCTTGATGATCTCAAAATATCCATATCTATTACATCATTGGGCAATAAAACAACATAATGTAAAAAAATAATAATATAAAAATACATGTAGTAGTCATAATTTTCTTTGAGGATTTAAAATGCCATAATTAGTTTTTTATTTATCAGAGTGACAAATACAAAATTTTGAGTTTACAAGTTTTAAATTTTAGAAATGATGACTTACTGAATTATGGGTGAATTATTTATATATTTTCTGTGAATAACTGAATAATTCTGCCAAACTCGAGCTAAATTAAATTCTAGATTCGTCTCTAATTTACACGCTATTAATGTGTTTTGAACATATAACTCCCTCCGTCCTAAATTATCTGCCAACCTTTTCTTTTACATTCCCTTAGAAATATTAATTAGAAGAGACATTCTTTTTAACTCATAACATCACCTCATAATTGTGATACTAAGGGTAAAATAGGACAAATTATTTTGAACTTATAAAACGATGAATAATTTAAAAAATATTTTCAAAAATCACGATAACAATAGATAATATGATTCCTCACCATCCAAGAAGTCTTGTCTTCATAGAGATTTGTGGACATGTGATGAGTAGGAGAAGAAGCTCTCATTGAATCAACCCAAGATTTCATTATTCTTGGATCACCATTTATTTCAACAAGTGTTTTTCTTGAAATATTATTGATGTAACTTTCCCGTGGCGGCGGCAGTGGTGGAGGTGGCTTCTCCACCATAAACATGGTGGGGTTGACACAGGATTTAGCATTAGACAAATTCTGTTTAGTCATTATTGTAACTACCTAGACATTCAATAACGAAAAAAAAATAATTAAAAAGAATCAATTCTTCTAGAAAAAAATATAAAATAAATCACAAAAATCAATTACGTAGAACAAAGAAAAGATTCATTTTTTTACCTAAATTTGTTGAACCAAAGATGAGTGGAACTACAGAGCAATTGTGATTCTTGATCAAGAATAGCAAAGAGGTGAGAGAAAGAGAGTGTGTGAGAGAGATTTGGGGTGGTTTTTAGTTATTTTATAATTGTTACTGGACATTGAGGGGTCGATTAAAATTATGCAAATATTAGTAATATATATATTAATAATATAGATATTAGTTATATGGATTTTATCGAAAAAAATTGAATTAGCTCCCCCAATCGTATCTCTCGAGGTAAAAGAAAAGATTGAACATGATAGGGATTCATAATTTAAAAATAAATAATACAATTTATAATTTAAAATAAATTATTAAAAATTATATTGCTATAAATTTGAGGGAATATTTTGGAGTGGGCTCTTGGCCACAGCCCACATCGGAAAATATTGAATCTTTGTCTGACGTGGTGTCATGCCACATCAGTAATTACTTAATTTATTTTACTGGACATCAGTAATTAAACATGTAATTTTTATTTTATTTTTAGTAGTATAAACTTTGAGTTTTTTTAATTTTTTATAATTGTGGTGTCTGGGGTCAACTTTCGCGCACCTCTGAGTTTATTTCACTAAAAAAGAAACAGTCATTTCCAAAATAGTTGGAAATTCTATTATAATGATAGCGGTGAGAATTGATTTTCGTACACCTTAAAAATCATATACATTTTTACATAGTATTTAGTACTAACAAAGAGATTCAACCAATTTGAATTCATACGGAAAAATTACATATTAAAAGATAAAAGCATACGTTCACTAATAAAAACGACTCCATACTGAAAACATTCGTATAACAGACAAATTAAAAATTCCAACATAAAAGTTAATCAATCTAACGATTATTTTATAAAATAGTCTTATAAAATTCTCAAATTAAAAGTTCCATAATTCCCCACAGACACCACCAACAAAGTATGAGATTCTTGTAATAACAATATCCAGTCATCATGTCTGGAATTTTTCACATATTGCTTTGCAACTATCTTTATGTTTTATTGAAAAGAATAACCAACTTTTTTTTTAAATTCCTCAATATATATCTCTCTTTGAATTTCTTTTTTTCTTTTTTTATAAATAACATTCGTGATAAAATTATTAGTTTTATTGTTTCTTAAAGGCAAAAAGTATTTTCTTCGTCCTAATTTTTGTAACACTTTTCGAATTTGGAAAGTTAGACATATGTATTTTTAATCATGATTATGTATTTTAAATATTTAAATTATAAATGATTGTGACTTATAGTATCTTGCAAGCCGTTTTCATATATATAAATTTTATTTCAAAAATTTTAAAAATTTTATATCCGAATTAGTAATTAAAATTAAAAAATTAACTTTCGAAATTTAAACGACATTATATAATTTGGGACATAGTGAGTAATAAAAAGCAAATTAAATCTTAACTAAGTATATATTAATAAAAGATTTATTTTTTAAAAAAAAAAAAAATACAATTACCTAACTTACATTGCAAAATTATAGTTCATATATACTTATAAAAGTTCTTTCCAATGTTTGCATATTTAAGTTAAAACTTATATTATAATAATATAATAATAGGTAGTTTTTAAAATTATTCACATTATATTGTTTACTTCTTAACATATAAGTAAATAGCTACTTATATTGCGTCACATTTTGCTCTCATGGCTCTCGTAATTTTTTATTCGTTTATGAATCATTTATTTAATGGAAAGGAATATATGCCAAAATTATATTAAATATATGATGAAGGAAAATTAAAAAGAAGTAGTAAAAAAAGAAGAAAAGCTACTTGAAATTGTGATTGTCAAGCTTCCTTTCCCCAAAAATAATTGGGTTGGAATATTCAACAGAATTATACTTTCTTTGTCCTAAATTATTGATCAATATTTTAAAATTTAATTTTTATATGATACGAGAAGAATGACAATTAATGATATTTTTTATATAGTTTTTGAATATTTTAATTTTAATTTTTAAAATATTTAGTTAAGTAAATTTCAATTAGCTTCAAAACTTAGTTAAATTGAGAGTAAATTTCTTAAAAATTATGATGGAAAATTATGTAACAGTCACTTAATTTAGTTTTGTATCGACAAATCATTCAATATATGACTTTTTTCTTATAAATCACTTAGCCAAATTTGTCATAAAAAATAAAGGGCAAATTGCAGAAATCACATACTTTTAAGGCAAAATTACAATTTATCCCTTAAAAGTTTATAATTACAGAAATCCCTCATTTTCGCGCATCAGATTAGTGTATCAAAGCTTATATTATTGTATCTCGCGCATCAGATTAATGTATCAGCGCTTATAGTATTGTATCTCGCGCATCAGATTAATGTATCAACACTTATATTATTGTATCTCGCGCATGTATCAGCACTTATATAGCTCTGATACATTAATCTGATGCGCGAGATACAATAATATAAGCGCTGATGCATTAATTTGATGTGCGAGATACAATAATATAAGCGCTAATACATTAATCTGATGCGCGAGATACAATAATATAAGCGCTGATACATTAATCTAATGCGCGAGATACAATAATATAAGCGCTAATACATTAATCTGATGCGCGAAAATGAGGGATTTTGGAAATTTGTAAAATTTATAGGAGATGATGGTAATAAGTAAATTAAAAGGTGGGATTTCTGTAATTTTTCCTGAATTAATTTTTGAATGTCAAGTTGCGCGCATTTTGTACGCCTAACACATGTCCTCTTTTGTGATTTGCATTCTATTCTATTCTTTAAAAAATATTTTATACTTTGCATCCAAACATCTTTATTTTCGTACAAATTAAAATAATGAAACTACTCTTTTTTTTATTCTTTCGTAAATGATATGCAGATACCTCCGACATATTTTTGAGACATTGATGCCCCTATCATCCAAAAACTAGAGCATATATGACATTCACTCTAACGGAAGACTAAATAGGGACACGTGGTGCTATCTTATCCGTCGTTCCGATATTTAATAAATATCGGATCGGTGAATAATATTATGACATGTGTATGTCTGTTAGTATAAAGGGTATATATGCAAAATAGAAATACTATAATTTTAAAAATAGAGAAAGGACAAATATATCTCCCGAACTTTCGTAAATGGTATCTAAATACCCTTCGTTATACTTTTAGAACTCTGATGCCCCTACCGTCTAATTTTTGGAGCGTGTATACCCTTTGGACTAACGGAGGGACACGTGTCATGATCTTAACAACCTATCCAAAATTTATTTAATTGCTATCGAACCCAACCTCCCTTGCTCTAGCGAAATAACTGAGGTAGCGACCCTTCATCCACTACTCACCCATCTCTCCCTCACTGGTGCTCCAATAGCTCTGGCGAATCGAACCAGCGACCTTCGAATGGATTTATAATCGCAAAACTCAAAAAACTTTTTTAGATGACTGAAACTTTGAAAAATGAAAATTATAGGACTGAAAGCCAAAAAAATAGATTTGTGAAAATTGAAAATCAACAATACATTAAGCAGCCTTAGGAAAAACATCACATACTGAAATGACCTTCTGGAACACTTCCTGCATTTTCAAGACAAGAACATCGTGTGCGTCAATTGAATAGAAACTGAACAAGAATCAAGAATTGCAGTTGTTGACATGCCAATATCAGAAAAAAAATAATGAAAGTCTTATTACTGATATTTGTACCAAAGTGAAGGTTTCTAGTTTGATTAGCGATTCAAGAATTACTTGAGCTTTCCTGCATGAATTTCCATTTCCAGGGAATTTATTGCTAACATGGTTAGAAAACTTTGAAGTTTACTTTAGGATAATTAGTTTTCCGTCTCTTGATAACTTGGTTATAATTTCGGAGCGGGTCTTAAATTATTTGGGTGGGTTTTTAATTCTCCGGATCAATTTTTTAATTGGAAATAAAAATTAAATAAATTTTGGATAGGTTGTCAAGATCGTGACACGTGTCCCTCCGTTAGTTCAAAGGGTATACACGCTCCAAAATTAGATGGTAGGGACATCAGAGTTCTAAAAGTATAACGGAGGGTATTTAGATACCATTTACGAAAGTTTGGTGATATATTTGTCTTTTTAATAAAAAATAGCTCGATAAAAAAATGTTGGCATATTTCAATATCTTTTTGCAATTTTTCTTGATAAGTTGAACGTTCTACGTATCTTTAGTTTAAAATCAAGTTATTTATTTTAGATTTTTTAAGTTTCGGGTTAAATTAAAACCATAATAATTACCCTTTAACTAGGATTTATTTTGAAAGTTATTTTTTAACCAAGAAGACTGAGACAAGGACACGTACTCAATTTTGTTATCTTAAAAGTAGTAGCTTTAAGCAATTAATAACAAAGGATTTTGTATGAAATTATTTACAACAATAATATAATTATTGCTATATTATATTTAGTAATAATATTAATATAATAAAAATAGTTATAACCAATACTTTATATAAATATCGTTAAAGAAAAAATTATTACTACTAAATATCTTCTTCTTCTTTTTTTACTGTAGTGTGATTAGCTAAAACAAAAAAGGGTAAAATTAAGAATAAACCAACTTTATGTTAACTAGCTTCTTCTTTTTTCTGTTTAAGTTGATCTTTACTTTTAAGTCCAAAAAGTGAAGTTTAATGTGATATTAGAAAGCTAATAAATCTTTGATTTCATTCTTAAACTTTATGTAATCAAATTCTTAATTAGTATTAGAATAACAAACATAACTTGTAGTACAATAATGGAATATTATTAGATATTTCCCCAAACAAGATGTTAGCCAATGAAGTATAAACTTCTGTCTCTCATAGTTGTTTCGTGATGTTTATATGCAAGCCTCAATGTCACGATCGAAGTTCATGAC